AGTTTCATTGCCTGTATGCTCAGCTGTGCTGCCTGGACTTCTGTGTTCTCTGCGTTAATCATTATTAAATCATCACTTCAACCTGGGCCCACCGTGTCTACCTCACCACCTCACAACTGCACATCATCACACTTTTCCTTGGTAAAGTTTAAATATTCAGTCACTACTCAGAGCTCATAGACATCCATCTTTGAAACGATGTTCTTATTTGTCTGACTTTATGAACTTCCTCACATTTTAATAAATCAAAGGTCAAAAACAGGATCGCAGACGCTACATTAAAATATTCCACAGTTCATCATAGGGAAGAATATTCTTTATAGATATCAGTGAAAGCAGCAGGAAATAAACCCTTCAAGCTCCTTAAAAGGAATCATTTCCTGTTAAAGTCATTGCTCTCAGCTTTCTGTGTTTCCTTGTTGTGAAAATGAGCCGAATCTGGAGCAGAGTTTGAACAACTGGCTCTTCAACTCCTTTCTGTACATTTCCATTCTGTCTTCTCATTCATTTATTTCTCTATATCACTCCTCAATAATCCCGTCATTCTCTCTGGAGGCTCTTTTCTTGTTTCTCCTTCAGATATTAGGAAGCATCTCACTAATATGGTGGAGATGATCTTTTTTATACAGAGGTTTTTATAATAGATTCATATTCAATCATGGTCTTGATGTTATCATTTGAGACTGTAGTTAAGGTGTTTGCATAAAAAAAATCAGTATATAAAGGCCAAATGACAGGTTTGACCAGTCCTAGGACCCGATCATGTGGAAAACCCTGCAGTCATGAACTGTAAATGTGAACATCAACAATTATGAAGTTTGTGACAGTAACAAGTTGGACTTGTTTGGAAGAGTTGAAGGACAAACTTTTTTGTAAGAAATACTTCAACACACGCAGCAATTTAGAAAAAGGGTGTGAACAAAATCTGACTGCATAAAAAGACGCAGAAATCAACACAGAATCATCTGACAGAAAGTCGGAACATCGACCTGCAGACGTTCTCCGTCTCCAACCAACAAACGGTAAGATGGGACGTTTTCCTCTCATTGACTTTCAGGGAATTTAAAAAACAGTCACTGCAGCTGCAGATTCTGGACAGATATTGTCATTATGTTACCTGAACATAACAAAATTGCATTGGTGTCCTCTGATTGTTATAAGTTAATTGATGTTATTAAATTAGATTTATTTTTCTTTTTTTCTAATTAGGACAGTTATTGTAACATGTTGAATCCATAAATCCAAATTTTAGGGGAAACTTGGTTTCTCTTAAATCAAACTACTTATTTTATATCCTGAACTTGTGATATTGTCTAAAACAGAAAATGCTGCAATTTTACTTAAAAAATGAATGAAGATCAACAAAAAGTCTCAACTATTGTAAGTTATTTGTATTCTGATGAGCTTTATGTGTCATGGTGTCAGCACCTGAGCTGAATATAGCAGGAATAAGAAATGAGGGAAGGGATTCAGCTCTTTGTAAAGAAAACAATATTTAGACCATGTCAAAACATTTTCTTCCCTTAAAATTTTATAATATGCAAAGGAGTATTAGGGAAAATGTAGACAAAAAAATTAAATAGATGGCCGTGGAAGAGTAAATGTCTGCAAAAAATTTTATAACTATTCTAGATTAATTTCACATTTTTATGGAGTAAAAAAAAACGAATATTCTCCAAACTTGCTAGATTATGATCAGGACATGCTGCAACTTTACAAAGTCAGATTAAAAGGTATTTATTTACTCAGACTTATTAAGATCTAAAAGCCATTCACCCATTTCAGTTTTTGTAATATCAGACACACATAACCTGAGTGAAATCTAAACAGTTTTCAGTTAAACTCATTCATTAATTAAAAAAACAACATAAAATAAAGATTTTGGAGTAGCCATAGGTGAGCCATAATTAGTTACATTTACTCACATTCACTTGAGTAACATTTTGAAAAAAAAAAAAAAAAACTTTTCCAGTATTTTTTTTACCCTCATTTGCCTTGTTTTGTTATTTTGTTATTTATAGAAATTATTTTCATTTTGGTCCATAAGATAGACAAAATTTTCACAAACATTATATTTTGGTTAATCTCATTATGTAATTTTAANAANTNAAATGATTGATAATTTGATCATTAACTTGCCAAATCACTTTTTACTCGAGTAATTTTTTGGGGCTTCTACTTTTTACTTTTACTTGTATATAAAAGATGTTAAAGTAGTTCTGTTCTCTAGTTGGGTACAGTTTTTGGGTACTTTACTCACCTCTGGGAGTAGCCTAGTCAAAGTCTAGTTAAACTGGATTTAGGAACGAGCAGAGTCTTTATCAGGTCATATGCAGATCTTAGTAAAAATGTGCAGGAAAGTTTTCACATGAGTGTAGTATTGGGTTTCCTCCACCTGAAGTCTTTCACTGGTTTAACTGGTATGAAGGCAGTGAAACATTTATCACTCCACAGTTTTAGAAAGTCAAGCCGACATATTTAGCCCCAAGGCAAAGGAAGAGACACAAAAGAAAGTAGAGCGATGAGTGACAGACTAATAAAATAAACCAAAATTATTTATACAACTGCATCAAAGTGAACATTAAATTCAGTTTATGTCACATAATTGTGTTGCTGTCATCCACCTGCTGGGATGCACTGCTTTTGTTTAAGTTCAAACCCAAAGATCAAAGGAATTACTTTGTTTGAATAAGGGAAATTTTAGTAATGTTACATGCGGTTAAGTAAGTAATTGAAGTAGCAAATTAAAAAATATATTGACTACCACAAACTAACATGCAGTTGAATCATAAACTCATGATTTAATTTTACACAGCTGCTAAATCCAAGGACTTGGAAGCATTTAAACGCTACTACTGTTTCCTCGTTACACAATCTGCATAACCAGGATCCCCAGTTGAGCACCATGGACGCACCAACAATGCAACAGGTGGATTCATCCGCAAAAGTGGATCAGCAACAGACCACAGAAACTCTGGTAAGTCTTCAACCAACAAAATAAAGCAACTTATTTTCTAAATCAACAATGAGTTACTGTCTATTGGAAGAAAATAAAATAATAATAATTTTAAAAAATCAAAACATTGACTCAAGACAGAAACTCAGAAACAAGTATAACAGAAAGCAGAGCTTATACAAGCTGAATTTAATTGAAACTAAAGGGCCACAATGAGAAGCTTAGTAACTAAGCTGGAACCTAAATGAAACATAAAATAAGCACTTAAAGCTGGAAATGTTTTACATTTATTTACAACAGTCTTGATTTTAGCATATTAAAAAAGCTGGTGTTTTAACAGACTGTAGACACTAACATCCACTGTAGGCCTTCAGCTGTCAATTGTTTTACTCACTGGGTGACAAAAAAACGGCTGAAGTTGTGAAGGAAGGAAACAATGAAGGACAAAAATAAGAAGTAACAAACCTACAGGTTGCAAGGCAACTTTGTATAGCACCTTTCAGTCAGAGACAATTCAAAGTGCTTGTACAAAAAAAGAAGAGCAGGGGAAGAAAAGAGTGAAAATAAAGAAAGTAAAACAGATGTTAGAGACCGATTATGGAGAAGGAGAGAGAACTTGTAAAGAAAGACTAGCTAGAATACAAAACCACTTCTTCATGTTCATCTTCGTTTCTCTTTCATGTCAACAAGACAATGTCCATCTCTAAGCATGAACCATGGGCCAATTTGAACACAGATTTACTGCGGATGTGTCACCTGAATGACCGCTTTGCCAAGTACATCAACATCTGTTCCCTACCTGTGAACGAAGAGCTCATGGTGGAGAACAAGGTGATAGAAGCATATCAGGGAAATGCTACTGTGATCCGGACAGACACAACCAGGATAAGTGAGGAGAACGTCAGCCTGAAGAGTAAAGTCAAAATGTTGGATGAGCAGATCATTGAAATAACAAGAAGGTAGGGGAGCAATAACTGTTTTCCCTTTTCCAGAAGAGGCACAATGTTTGAAATAGTTATACTTTTTTCCACATAAGTACACAACACAGCCTTGTATATTTTATTTATCTCTAATACGCTTATTTCTAAACAAGTCTGAGAAGTTATTTACAATATAGCCGAACTTTACAGCTGAATTATCTGTTAGCGACTAAAGAGAAAACAAAAAGGAACTTAAACATTGAAAGACTGAAAGCAAATCAGATCAATGAACAAACTGACAAAAACAAATGAAATGTTGAAAAATTATTTCAAAACTAAATAAGTAAACACTTATACTTAGAAATTTCATATGATCAGTTTGTCAATAGAATGGATCTCAACAATGTGATGGATCAACATAATGTTCAGAGTTCAGAATTATAAAGCAGAAGTAAAATGATAAACAGCTTTCAATGATTTCTGATTTGTTTGCCATAATCGTATCTCTGGGGTCAAACTTCTCATGAATTCATTTTGTGAACATTCAAATACTGAGTCAGTAGTTTTTAGCTTCTAGGATAATCTGGATGCGAGGGTTTCACAGCTTCCACCAGTCCCACATCCTCTGCATCGTCTTTTAGTGCAACTATAATTATAAGTTGCTGTGAGATCAGAGGGATTTTTGCTGAAGCTAATTAGATACTGAAGATGGGCTGAAGATAAAAATATAATGTGATTTCTTTGTTTCTCTATTATCCAGGTGGAAGAAGGAGAAAGAACTGAGAGAGGAAGCTGACAAAAACTATTTAGCTTTTATACAAGTAAGTCCAGAACAGCTCATGTTAAACACATTTTGCCTGTTGATTATTCAGATTCACACAATATATGTATATTTTTTGTATTATATCTTCTGTGCAATTTGCAATTACAGAAAAATAAAGCTATCTATTCACAAGTCCTGGAGTTGCAGAAACAAATCGAGCTTCTGCAGGAGGAAAAAAAGGATCTGGAGATCAAGAGTGAACAGGTCTTCATTCTTTTATTTTCTTCCCTGTCTCCTTGTTCTTTCATCAGGCTTAAGATGGACAGACAAATAGACAGTAGGAGATTTAAAATACACATTTACATTTCATCTTCCTACAAATGTTCATTTGTATTTTATTATATGTACAGCAGTGGTTTCTTCAGTTTCAGTTCCAACTCAATCCGCTCAGCTTGGATGCAGCAAGTCAAGTGTGATGTGATGTGCAGTCATGCAGCTGATAGAAATACAAAGGCCTCTTGACTAAATCTGTATCATGGAAACAGATTTAAATAAAAAAAATATTCAGCTCCCATCTGTCACCTAAAGTCTCTGCTCTTAGAACAACACAACTACTGCAGATTCTAATCTCAAAAGTGATGGACTCATGAAACATTGGCACAATAATTCTGCACATTTTTGTTTTCATTCTAAATGCATCCTATTTGCCACATTGTGTACAGTCCTGTAGCTTCCAAGAATTTATTAAAGGTTAGAGGAGAAACATGTCTGTCGACATGCTTTTGGTCAGACAGTATTAAATTACATCGGTAATGTCTGAGACGTTTTTGCAAACACCGACTGCTTTCATGTTAGAATTGGCTTTATGACTCCCTTAGAGAGATTTAAAAGTCTTAATACTCTTATCCATAAACACCAGGGAACCCAACATGTTTGGCTGGAGTCATACATGCTCAGAGAACACATGAAAACTCCATGCAAAAAGATCCATGGCTGAGATAAGAGCTTGTTGCTGCAAGGCAGCAAAGCTAACAACTAATCAACTACAGCGCAGCGCAGCTGCAGTGAATTTAAACTTTTTGAAAGTCTAGTTGTTATAAGCAAGGAGGGATGTCTCTAACTGGCTTCCAATATTTTATTGTTAAAAACATTTACATTCACGTACCTTTTACTGCCTCATTGTCATTCTGCATTTCCAGGGAGTGAGAATCTCTATGGAGACAATAAAATACACTGGTGGATGTGGAAATGGCGACATGGTTGATGGTGTCAAGATTGACCTCAGTGAAATAAGGGAATATGTTAGTTCCTTTATTGAAAAAAGTGTTACTTCGATTGAAGTGGAGTACAAATCCAAGGTAAGAGATGGCCGTTTATTTCATTGATATTCAAATATGTGTTTGACAAGGAAGCAGAGAGGAGAAAAAGAATAATGCAAAATGTTCAAGACTTTTAAAGTTTCGTTGTGATCAACTAAAAACTGTTGCAGCACTGAGAACACGAGGAAAATGTTACTTTTTAATAACCAGGATATTGTTACTAACTTTCAGTATTGTTATACAAAACTCTGCAATTTCCATAGCGTAAATGATCAAAACATTGATTTGCTACTTGTTTTCAGGAATGTATGAGATAAACATACAATTGCATGTATAGTGGTGTGAAAATGTTTGGTGTGGCAGTAATCAGGCCTGGTTATGGCTAAACACCGTGAAGTCAGCTGTGATAAACCAGTTATCTGTGTTTTAATAAGTGAGGCAAGCACTTCTTAACACAAGTAGGCAATTTAAGATTTAACATCTTAATTTAAAGATTGTATATTTACTCATGTTGACTCTGACTAATATTTAAATTGATTTCTGAAACATAAGTTGTGAAAATATGCAAAAAAAAAAAAAGGAAATCAGAAAGGAGTCAAACACTTTTTTGTATCACTGTATGCATTTACATTTATAATATTGCTGGACCAAGAATACTCTCTTTAAACACACATTTTATTAGTGTCACTGTGGACAGAACAATGAGACTGAAAATGGAGTTTACCACCAATGTTTTCTGAGGCAGAAACAACTAAAAGATTCAACAGAAACTTTGAACCTCTCTTTAAATGGGAACTGCAGATTTTCATTCAGTCATTCTGGCACATCTCGGTCTGACCTGTCAATGATCGTAACATCTACCCGATGACTTTTGTTCCTGCAGATCACAGAATGGGAGATAAAAGTGAAGGAGAAAGATGCAGAACTCACTGAAGCTACCACAAAGATTAAGAACCTCTCTCTGCAGCTACAGAAGTACATCTGTGAGATAAAGTTCCTCGAAGAGGAAGTATGTAGGACACCCTTCTGATGTTTACCGTTTTCCCCTCCACACTTACAAAAAAACTCACGTACTACTCTCTCTCAGAACACCCAGATAAAGAAAACAGAGGAATTGAAAGAGCATCAATTTGAAAAACATTTGAAAGAAAAGGAGGAAGAGATAGAGATTCACATCAAGAACTACAGTCTTCTTTATAGTGAAAGTTTGAAGATGCATGCAGAGATTCTAATGTACAAGAAACTGCTGGAAGTAATGGGGAGCAGGTAATGTTTGGAAAGATCAAAGAAGTCATTGTAGTTTTCAACAACAAGTTTTACAATCTACTTGTGATGCTTTACAGAATCAACATATGTGACAAAGGCCAATCCATCTTCACTTCAGCAGGTAAGTATCTTTCTAAAAACAACACTGTGTTGTGCCAAACATCGCCGCTTGCCGCTAAAACCTCATGTTATCCTGGTGTCCACGTCTCCGATATTGACATCAACTTCCCTCTGTTGGTTTAATGAATGAGCCATGGGCCATTATGATCTCACAGAAATGCAGTCTGAGACACCAAACTTAATTATACAGAGGACCGACTGTTGCAATCTATGGAGATTTAATCGTGTTTGCTCTCTGGTGAATGTAATTGAATAGCAGCAAAGCATAGAGATAAGCATAAATGAGTAAAAATAGCAAGGAAACATTGTCAATCGCATCACCAAGCAGAAGAATCATGAATGCTAAGATGTCAGAACAAGTCAATGTTTTGCCATTAGGCAAAATTTAGAAAATCTTTTTATGTGTATTTCAAGTTATTAATGGCTTACACCCATCTTGTTTAAGATTAAAGTTGAATTTGGGTTTAATTCCATAAATGCGTAAGTTAACTTGAATAAGTTGATTTATACAAGTTTATTTAAACAAGTTGAAGCTTATTTAAAGTTGTTAACTTTAAGGAAGACTTTCTAATTGATGAACAGTTTGTAAAATTATGAACTGCTTAGAAAAACTTCAAAATTTCAAACAAATCTCAAACTTCAAAATATTGAACCCATCTAAATCCTTGGGTCTCCTAAATGCAGATTGCTATTGTTAAAGAACAAACAAAACAGAGTCTTCAATCACAAAAGGCATTTCATTTGTAAACTAATACCTGAAGCCCTGATAATAGCTGAGTGTGGAAAATATTTAAAGTAAAACATCTAATGTAGACTCTATTTGAGCTCTTCTAATGTTTTCCAATTTCATTTTTAGCATGGTTTGCAACAGTCATTTATCTAATTTTATTTTTTATTATTTTATGCTACTTAATGTTGATACACTTTTTTGATTTTACCTTTGATTTATCTTTCTTATGAGTTTTATATTACCGTACTCTAATATTTTAATGTTAATGCAGTATTACTGAGCCTTGATCTGTTAAAAACTGTTGGGTCATGAGAAAACCTCAGCATTGGATCAGTAAATATCACTCCCACCTTATTCTCCTTCCATTACAAACTGAGGTGTAAAATGTCTCGATCTAATCTTAAAAGTGTTTTCTGAATGGATCTTCTGACAATCTTATGTTCAAGTTTTCTACTGGAATATTTCTAAGTTTCAATAATTGCTCTGGGGTATTTAAAAGTTATATTTTAGAAATATGAAATTGATTCTGATGTTTTCAGATGGTGAAGTCAAAATGGTCAAAAAGGTTACATGTGCGGGGTACGGTGGGCCTTCATTCCAGGTAAAATCTTTACTGCTAAAATATTGGACATATGACTTTATTTATAAATTCACATAAAGGTTAAATACAAGCAGGACAATTTTTATATTAGAAAGAACTCTACATATAAAATAATAGCACAAACTTATGATAATACACAAAACAAAATATAACATTTTCCAGCTAAGAGTTATTAAAAAATCTTGTCAGTTTTATTTAATCTTATTTTTACAAACCCTTTGATAAATTGTTACCTCCATTTTAACATTTCAGGATAAATAAGCAGCATCCTTCTAAAGGGAATTTAAAATGTCTATGTCTTTATATAATTGTGTGATACAAAGTCTTTGGTTTGTTTCAACTTAGAAAAATGATTTACCAGCGATCACTCACAGTGGAAGGTAATGTTAGCAAAACCGAGCTTACATCAGAATCTGCTGTTTTGTTATTAAATTTAACAAATTTTGCTATACATGATTGCAGTGAGGAAGGCAAGCTGGACAAAGAAGAAGAAGAGAACAAAATGAAGCATCCTGAGAAGACTCAGAAGAAGAAGAAAAATTAAAGGTAAAAGAAGTGCAGAACAACAGAAAAATAGCAACAAATTGTTGTTTTTTTATCATTTGAAGAGAATTTAAAATGCCTACTCTGTTTGATTAAGCAGCCTCATCATGTCCTCTGCTGCTCCCCAGAGTTCACAAAAAGAAACATCTAACATTTTTTTTATTCTTTATTCGTGACTTAACGATATAATGAAAAGGTTTATTTAGATAAACTTTTTCATATCATGTCAATATCATAATTGGAGAAAGAGCTAGATGACCTGGAGCTGACTGCAGTGTTACAACCCAAACATGATGCTTGTTTCTCTGACTCAGTCCAGACAGTCCTAACCTTGATACTGATTTATGTCAATGGCTG